AAACGTTACTCTAGAAAATTATGCAAGTCCCGGCTCTCCAGCTATCGTCGTTCGGGCAGGGCTCGCTTTCCCCGAGCACGTGTCTATCTCCGAGCAAACATCTCTGGGAATCTCAAAATACCATGGACTATAGGTCATCGACTACGCTGAGCATAGTAGCAACATTTGTTTTTGTGTAGAAATGAATATAACTTCGCCAGAGGCATTGTTGTGAAAAACCGGTTTTTCGCCTGTTACTAGCAAAAATTAAAATCCTTATATTCTCCGTTATTCTCGGTCAAATCTTATGCTGACGCAAGGAAATTTTCAGAAAACGCTCAGGACAGCTCATAAAACATAATCGAAGACGAAAAAGGTGAATGTGAGCTGGGCATTGGCTTAAGGTTTTAAAAAACTTCTGAAAAACCTCCGAGCATCAGTGTTCTGCTGGATCACTTTTTCGGCGTGGTCAACAACATATGGCACCTTTTAAGCCTTTTCTGAAAATTTCCTTGAGTCAGCATGAGATTTGATCGAGATATAAGGATTTTAATTTTTGCTAGTAACAGGCGAAAAACCGGTTTTTTACAACAATGCCTCTGACGAAGTTATATTCATTTCTACACAAAAACAAATGTTGCCACTATGCTCAGCGTAATAGATGACCTATAGTCCATGTATTTTGAGATTCCCAGAGATGTCTGCTCGGAGATAGACACGTGCTCGGGGAAAGCGAGCCCTGCCCGAACGACGATAACTAGAGAGCCGGGACTTGCATAATTCCCATGGGTCTTGCATTTTGCGATGGATAGTACTTTTCCCATCATTCTAGATGGATATTGGTCTCGTTCAGCTTCCTGATTCAGAAATTCTTCTTTTTGCTTTGGATATATGCTTTTTTTATGTTTCTGATTTTTTAGTTTTTTAAATCTCAAAATTTCTCGCGGCCATAAGGACTCCGTTTGATTAGCGAAATCTAAATATGTTTCCCAAAGACGCTTTTTTTCGTCTGTTTTTTTGCGTAATCAAAACTTCTTACTAGTTCTACATATATGTAGTCGTCTTCCTATTCCTATTGAGATCCTTGTTTCTGTTAATTTCTTTTCTTGTATGTATATTGGGAGTCTAGGTTGCTTTTGCTTTTATAATCCGGTGTGTCTTTCTTTAGATTAGACATGTATCTCTGCTGCTGATCTTGGTGAAATTGTTGCGCTATCATCTCATAGCCTAGCATCATGTCTTGTGGTTCACACTGTTTAGTGGAATCGGTCTTCTTTCCGCATTTTCAATGCGGAAATACATCTTTCATGTAATTCTGTCCTGTCGTATTATTGTTTATCTGTTGACTATTTCTCCTAAAGGGTTGTTGCTAGCGGAAAAAATGCGGATGAGATTGTTGATACGAGTTATTATTATTTACAAAATAGTTAATTTGTGGCGGATATTTCTGATATGTAAACGCTCGCTGTTTGGGAGGTTGTCTTTGTTGAGCCTATCCTGTCATGGACGCTATGTTCTCTAAATATCTTTTGTTAGACATCCATTGATTTCTCCGGCTTTTTATTTCTGAGATAGTATATGTTTCTATTTTCTGATCTCGTTACTTTATGTTTATTTGCATTCATTTCTATTTTTGCTCCCCTATCTTTGTGGTTATTATATTGCTCTGTTGTTAAGGTTTGCAGTTTTCTAGTACTAATTCCTTTATTCTCGCATACTGGTTTTTTGTTTTTTGCTACTACACCTGGCTGTTGATATTTATAATCCTCTCTTGGTTTATTATTTTTTTTATATACGAACAGTGTAGTTTGTGTAGCAGCTTTTTCTAATCTTGCCGTTTCTCTACTACTTTGGAATGCTGTCTTGTCTTTTTCGCTATTATAATTTATTTGTATGCCTGATCTAGTTTCTCCAGTTACTACCGCTAAGTGAATACAATTTATATTGTTTTCTACAGTCGCTCCATCTATTTTTTTCTTACTGATATTAGTATAGTAGCTCCTCTCTTGCACCTCTGGACTAGTCTCTCTGTATATACTTTCTAGCGTTAAATCTATCGCTGATCCTTGCTGTGGTTGGGCTATTCGTTTATCTGTAGTGATAATGTGCGCTATTGCTTGTGATGTTGGAGACGGTAATATCCCGTCAACCCGATCTAGGGTCATTGTATCTGGAGGAAATGCACGTTCCTTACCAGGTTTATGACTCGAGGTTATCCTGCTTCTATCGGGTTCTGATTCATCATGATGATCAACCCACAGACCTCCATAGTTTACTGTTTCTTTTTTTGATTTATCCATTTTATTGTCGTACTCTATATCTGTTTCCCACAGATTTCGTATCTTTTTACTTTTTGCTTTTATTTTCGGAGTCCAGCTTTGTTTGTCATTACTCTTTGTTGGTTTAGAATTACTTTTATTACTTGGTGTATTTCTCGCAAAAACACTTCCTTCTTTAATTGTTTTGTTTTATAGCTTTATTCTGTCAGAATACAAGCGGAAGAATATTCCATTATAGTATTCTAACTAAAACTATCGAAAAACACAAAATCAATTTTTGTACGAATAGAGATTCGAACATGTGAACTTAGCTTTGTAGTAAACTACAAAACTAAATTCACCGT